GATGTCTCCCTAAGTTGGGTAGGTCTGATCAGCTGCCTAATAAGAAAGAAAGGTACTAAGTTTGTGCAAGTATCAGTGGTTGTTATCCTATATTGTCGTTACGGAGGCTAAGCGTACCCTTAAGTTAGRSCGGCTTAGTCATACGTCGTTTGTACTTTGTTCAGACAGATCATGTCTTATTTACCTAAGCYTGTGTAAGCTAGCTAGGCGTACCCTTAAGTTAGGGCGACCTAGTGATATGCTCTTGTCGTTGATATTATGTAGGTTGAACTTACCCTTAAGTTAGGGCGGTGTRACCATTCGTCGTTCGTATTTGTTTTAGGCAGGTTAGGCACACCCCTAAGTTGGGYCAGTCTAATCCTATGCCCTACGTAAACTTTGTTTAAGGTTGACTAGGCATACCCTTAAGTTAGGACAGTCTAGCTTATACTTCATGTCGTAAGTTTAAACAGAAGTCATGCGTACCCTTAAGTTAGGGCGGTCTGGTCATATCTTTTATGACTAGAGTTTATTMTGGTGTTGGGCATACCCTTAAGTTAGGGCAGTCCACTTGTGCGTGCTTTACTTGTTTACTTAGGCAGGTTCGACATACCCTTAAGTTRGGGCCYTKTMTGATCCTAWKCCATAAGTRAGGGGGCTTATTGAKGGGAAACAACTGAGTGATCTAACGAACTACTTKRGCAAATTTATGTGGGATTRTGAGAGATGCATRTTTATRTRTGCTTGTAGGRGCTCACTTGGGGTGTCTTTYCGATAGRCTAGTTGCTTTAGAYGCTCGCCAAGTGYTGGAGCCATAGGTAGATCAGATGGATGATGGRGGGGRGGACTTGGGATGAAGATARGACTGRCCCTGCTAGGAGYTAGGATCAMYGYTARCTKASAATCTCATCTAGRGGTCGTGCAGKCTGTCGTTGATCCTGAATCATCAAGCAGGTGTCAGAAGTTAGTCCCAAGTATAGATTRCTSTGTSTTTTYTGTTCTCARCTTTGTATAAATCYTGRCAACCTCMTGTTCCTACGGGAAGCACTGYCGAAATTTCTACAAATCTGAAACAGTTAGTCATTTTTRGACTTGTAGAAATTCKGAAAGKGYACTTTTCCTACGGGAAGCGCTGCYGAAATTTTGTAGAATTTAGAGWGTTRGATTATTTTCAGYTAGGAGAAATCTTGCAATCCATCCTGTTTAGGGGATATGCTGCCGGAAATTCTTATATTTTTAGATAAACATCAGAGGTTAGTTAGGCAGGTAGGATTATTTCTTGATCACTCAAGCATGGCTTGGGTACTAGCTTGTGCTGCATTGCAGGTCATCTTTATTAAAATTGATTCAGGGTTTGACTAGCTTCAAGTTGAACCTACGAGGATAATCTTCTGTTATGTTTTAATAACAGGTCGGTTTCCGGCTTAACTTTAATCCACTCTTGCTACTCAACCTAATGGCTTTAGCCTTGTGTTTTGTGTTATTTTTACCTAGACTTTAATTGAATGGTCATTTAATAAAGATGCTGAGTATTTTATTTTGAGAGTTGCACAAAGAGTGAGGCTTGTATGGTTAAGCCGAGGGGTGTGAGCGCAAAGAATAATTGAAGTTGACCTCGTGTAGTGTGTGCTCTGTCGAGGTGAATCTTTGATGTGATTGCAGGTATGTTCTGTGAAGTGACATCCTGATTTGGTTTTACTTATGATCCTATGTATATATGTTTCAAGGAAGCCACACCGTGATTGTGAGAGTGATCGTCTCCTATCTCATAGTTTTTATATCATGTTTTTTGTGTTCGCTCGACCCATTGAGGTCGTGCATAGTGATTAAGTAAGTCTTGCACTGAGAGAAAAGGAGGACCCCCTTTGACCTTTTGCTTTCAAAGTTATTATGGTTGGACGTTGTAGTCCGTAGCAACCGTCGAAATCCAACCCCGCGATCTGTAGTCGCCACGACAGTTGGAAGCTGTATACTCAACCCCTCTGCACAGGGTGCAGAAGAGGGTGTGGTCTTCAACCGCACATGGTAGTTGTCCATCGTCGAGAGATTAACCCTCAAGGCGAGTGTCAGCCGACGCTTGAGTGTCGAACGCGACACTCCAGATTATCGAGGATCCCGTGAGTATGGGCTGGGTTGTCACGGCCCCGGCCCCGGGGGTCCGGGGTAGCCCCGAGGGTCCGGTGCAGTGGTCCCCTGACCCCGGGCCGAGATAGGTAAAAAAAAAATAAAAAAATAAAAAAATCGAAAAAAAATCCGAAAAAATATTTGGAAAATCTGGTGGGGTGCGCACCGCTGCCACGCACCCCCTGGCGTTTTCTGCTATTTTGCAGAAAAGTGCCCCCCTAGGCCAGCCCACCGGGGTCCTCCCATCCCGCTGGCGGGGTCATTCGGCGGGGGTCGGGGTTTAGTCCAGTGGGCCGGGGGCGGGGATGCGCTGGCGCGGGGCGCGGGGGTCGAGGTTGGTGCCGGGGTTCACCTGGGCCGGGGTCGCGGTGGTCGGGGCCGGGATTATGGAATCGGGGCCGGGGTGTGGGTGACCGGTGTCGGGGCCGGGGTGCGGGTGGCCGGTGGTCGGCAGGGTTGCGGGGTCGGGGGGGGGGGGGGGGGGGGGGGGGCGGGGGGGGGGGGGGGGGGGGGGGGGGGGGGGGGGGTCGGGGTTGC